CTGTCATTGGGCTGTGCATGATTTGGGGGGTGGAGGATGGGCACCCGGGTGGTTCGTCGGAGTTATGCGATTGTGTACAGTACAGTACCTAGGTGGTCACTGAGAATTCTGTGAGCGAGTATTGTATTGTGGAATAATGTGGAACAGGTTGGAGGCTTCATTTCTACCAGAGGGCTATTTGTTTCAGGTACGGTGCATTGCCTTTTTTTTGTTACTCGATGCCTTGCAAGCTATACTAGTGCAGGCTTACATTGCACTTGGGCATGCGATATTTGACCAGAATTGTCAAACTCCTTTATTTATTCATTCTAATCACAAGAGCTATGTACTCGGTGTACTCATTCTACTATCAAAGTCCATGCTGACCAATGCCATAACCCATCTATGAAATCTACAGTCAGTCAGCCATAACCCGGTATCATCATCCAATGCATGTTGAAATTCGCCCATTTTGTAGCCCGCTTGAACGCCCAAGGAAAAAAAGACAGAATTATAACGCCAACAGAAAGAGAGAGGAATCATTGGTGATCATGTTGTCCCTGATGAGCGTCTGCCAGCATCTGGAACCCCTTCACCAGTCCCATCGCTGACCCGGCCGCGACTCCTCCAACCAGAACCATCTGCAAGCCTCCGATAAGTCCTCGCCGAATGTTCCTGGATCCCTTCCACCCACTCACAAAGCACGTCTTGCCGTATCCGAACAGGAACAATGCGACCACCATCGTGGCGATCGACCACTGTAGGGCATAGAAGGCGCCATGGGGTCCGACAAAGAAGTACGGGAGGAGCGGCACAAAGCCGCCGATGAAGTACCCCAAGGCAATGGTTAGGGCACACACCCAGGCCCGCGATCCCGACGGCTCCTGGACGGTATGATGGAAATTCATGAGAAAGGAAGGGAGCATGGGGGAGGTGGAGAGGTGTCGCGTGAGCTCCACCACCAATTCGGAAGGGAGGTCATAAGGCGCAAAGACATCGGCAATGGTGTCAGTCACTGAGGCGGGGTCATTCTGGATTTCTTGTTTGGTCTCTTTCAATGTTGCGCGATAAGACTCCCTGTCAAGAAGAAAAAGGGAAAGACCTAAATGTTAGCTTGATGCTTTTTTTTGTGGTGGTCTTATCTTTTCGATGCACATCGAACCCCGCTTCAATCGCCTCCTCCCCGCTCCTTTCGCCCCCTCACACATTGACGGGAAGTAAATCACCAAAAAGAAAAAGTGGGTACATTACTTACTCCTCACTCTTTGCACCCAAGTAACCGCCCAGCCCCATGGAGATAGCGCCTGCAATGAGCTCGGCCATGCCTCCAAAAACGACCACCTTAGTGTCACCCAGCGCTGATAAACCGGCGGTGAGGGCGAATGGCACCGTCATGCCGTCGGAGAGACCGATAATGGCGTCGGAGACGATGCGTCCGTCGATGAGTTTGGACTCTTTCTTCTCCGCTCCTTCCCGACATACTGAGCTGCTTGAGCCGGCTGTGGACTCGCTATCGCTTTCGTGTCGCAGGGAAAGAGGGTATTCTTTTTCCAGATCATGCTCTGGGGAGAATTCAGAGACGGGGGAGTAGCTGGATAGCAAGCCTTTGATGGAGGAGATAGACATTTTTGCTGTGTGTGTGCGTCTGTCTGAGGGAAGAGAAAGTCCGCTTCGAATTGAATCAATGCTGGAGATCTGATGTGATAGATTGTAGCCGGTGTGACCGAGGTCGGTATTAATATATCCACAGGGAGAGGATAGTCGCACGACGGGTCTTTGCTGAACTTGGAAGGTGGGCAAGAGACGAAGAAAAGGAAACTTTTGTGGTCCAGCTCCGAAAAGTGAGCGATAGGGAGTAAATCAAGGCAATGCAATGCAATATCCTATGGATCAGAGTGAGCTCTAGCGAGATTAGACGTTTGGCCGGGGCCCGTCGGTCATAGATATGGTTTGAGCGACAGGCGTCAGTCCAAGCTGAGGGGAAGAGAGCATGTCTAACAAGCTGAAGGTGGAATACCCCTCGTGCCCATTTTCATGCTCATCTTCCACTCACATTCAGCGAGCATCTGTAGTAGGCAAGGTGCCTGGTTATCGGCGGCCATGTGCCGGTATGAGAAGGCCTATTGAAGGAGAATGAGGGACAACGTGCCTCACGGTCTGGCGGTCATCTGCAGTCGCGGGGATGGCACGTGCAGTTCTGATTGGCCTCGACCCCCGGGACAATGCAGCCTTCGACCCACTGGAGCTGCGGAGTACCTGAAGCTTGGACCACTCTAGCCTATCACACTCGGCTATTTCCTAATCGACGGTCTAAAGTGGATCTACTAAAGGATTCGCTACCCACAGGTGCACTTCTTCCACTGCACTCTTCTAGACCACATCCACTCATCCGTCGAGTCAAGTCGCATGCAGTTCTAATGCAATAAACAAGCACGCTGCAATCACGCTGCCCGCGATGCGCGCTGCAGAGGACCAATTGCTGTAATACTACCACTAAGCACGCACATTCTTGACCCTCTTCAACCCGTCCGTTCCTTGCAAGCGGGGCATTGTACTATCTAGCCGTCCCCTTGAACCGGGCTAGAGTCGTCCTCCCAGTCTTCTCCTCCCGTGGTCGAGACCAATCAATCGAGCAGCTGGTGCACATCTCGCAATCGCGACCTCCAACTGCACAGTTCTGTTCTTTCCCACGCCTGTGTCGACCCTCACGGCCATCTCCCCTCATTCTCCAACTGCAGCGGAGCGCATCCGGGCCATACCTATCTATCTCCTCATTCTAGCTGCTGAATGTGGACTGTCTCACGCGAGCTAGCAATTAACTCCACAGCGTGCAGTCCATTGTCCCGTGCCATTGGCCATGGTCATTCTCAGCAATCATCACAACTGAAAAGAAAGAGAGGGAAAAATCCTGTTCCTGGGACAAACCGGCACGACTTACTCGACTAATGTCGCGTGTGGACCTGCCTATCTCCGCAGGATGTCGGTGTGTGCCGAAGCAGCCGGCATGCGCTGCTACTTTTTGCCTCGTGGGAAGTTAGGGGGTGGTGAGGGGAGAAGAGGGGCGAGAAAGAAGATAAATATCGCATCTCTCTGCTCCCCCTGGCCGGAAAAGATAGGAACTGGAATCTGAAGAGCAAGAACGAAGCTGGGCGAAGAGCAGCGTAGACATTGGACGCAAGCAAAGATGAAGTTGAGCGTGGCTACGATCTCAGCTTTGGCTACTCTGGCCACCGCGGTTCCCCACAGGCGGAACAGTGCACAGTGGGATCAAGTTCGCTCCAATGTAGGTTTTGACCTTCGCTCCCGGTTTTCCTGCGTCTCCTGCAGCCATCTGATTGACTTGGGGGACAGATCAAACATGTTATCTATCTGATGTTGGAGAACCACTCCTTCGACAACATTGCGGGCTACTGGGACTTTCACCCGGACATTGACAACTTGCGCAACATCGACTACTGCAACGAGTACACGAACCCCAACTGGACGGTCTGGGGTGAACCTCTGAACGTCTGCGCGGCCCCATTTGAGACCGAGGTACCCCTGACTGACCCGGACCACAATTTCGCGGGCGTCACCTACGAGATCTTCCGCAAGTGGAACGTCACCAAGGATGATGTTCCCAACATGGGTGGATTCATCGAGCGTCAGTCGGAGAAGTACAGTGCTACGCCCGGTGAATCCAGCTTCGTTATCAAGGCGTACGACCAGAAGAAAACGGCGACTCTGGCGGAAGTTGCCCAGAACTTCGCCTTCTGGGATAGCTATGTGAGTCTTCTGCAAAGCGTCTTGCCTGTCTAGATGTACTAAACGGGCAACAGCACGCGGAGCATCCCGGCCCTACCAACCCCAACCGTCAGTTTGCTACTTCGGGCTCCACCTGTGGTATGGTGGATAACACTTACCAATCTGCTGGATGGTATGCCAACTACACGGGTACCACGTGTGCCACCTCGATCTTCGAGTCGCTCAGTCAGAAGAACATCACATGGAAGAACGTGAGCTATAACCGTCCGATGCGTACATGGACATCAACTAAGCTTATGTCTTCTTCCAGTACTATGAGACCGACATTGTCGATGCTTTCATGTACAAGGTAATGCTATTTTCCCGCAGTCACTCCAAATTCGCCTACTTACCGCTCTCTAGTGGGTGCAAGACAATGCCATGGACCGCCTGGTTCACTCCGACCAGTTCTACCGTGACCTTGAGGAGGGCACTCTCCCGCAGTTCTCCTACTACAATCCGGAGTGCTGCACCATCGACTCCATGCACCCGACCAGCAACATGGCCTCGGGCGAGCAGCTGATCAAGCATCTGTACGATGCGGTGCGCAGGTCGAAGTACTGGGACAATGTGTAAGGACCCCGATTGTCTCCCATGGCCTTCCCAGCACTGACAGCGACGATTCGATCTAGTCTGATTGTCCTCAACTTCGACGAACACGGTGGTTTCGCCGACCACGTCCCCACCCCGGTCAATATTCCCCAGCCCGAGGATGGCATTACTTTCTCCGGCGTGTCGGACGGCCACAACGTGACCTACGATTACACTCGATTGGGTGTCCGGTAAGCCCACCTCTTACAGTCCTCCTTCATCAATCGATACTATTGTGCGATGGCTAACTCGGAGGAACAACGACAGTGTCCCCGCGTTCCTCATCTCCCCCTGGGTCCCCGCCAACCACCTGATCCACGACCAAGGGACGAGCTACGCCAACAACTCGGCGTACACCCACACCTCGATCCTGCACTTCCTGCAGGAGCTGTGGAACCTGGACGGGCTCAACAACCGGGTGCAGTGGGCCAAGACCTTCGAGTACCTCTTCACCAACACCAAGCGGGAGGATACCCCGGAGAAGCTGACGACGCCGACCTGGTACGGGGGCAGCAACGAACCCAAGCCGGACCCGTTCTACAAGTTGAACCAGGATTACGACTACTATGAGAATATGTAAATACGAGCAGCAGGATGACGGCCAAAAAGACTACACGGCGGGTATGAATGAGGTTTAGAGCTAATATCAAGTAAATATTCATGTTATCTTTGACTCGGTTCATTATGACGATCATATCTCGTTAACGCCCTCGCCCTCCTTTCGGGAAAGAAAGGGTAGCAATGGTCAGCATAATGCATACATCATCCACCTTCCCTAATACAAGGCAAGGTAAAGCAAAGCATACCCCATGTTAGAGTACAGTACAAAGCGCGATGCTTTTGTTCGTTCGTGGTATTGCTCGCTCAAAAAAGCACGACACCTCTTCTTTTCTTGCTGCTGCTGCTGCTGCTGCTGCTGCTGCTCCCTCCAACCCCTCATCCGCCTCGCCCGTCACTTCCGCTTACTACTCTCAGCAGCAGTCTGACTCTCCTGCCCCCAATTCGTAGGCTTGGTCATATCCCAGAACCGACTCTTGTACGCGGGGAACGAGGTGTGATTCCACATGTTGACGAGGATACTGCCGCCGCCGCCGCCACCAAGAGCTCGTTAGCCACGGGATTCTTCTGAGAAAAGAAACCACGCTATCCGGGTGGTTCGAAGGGGGAGAAAGGAAAGAACAAACCTCTGACTCCGATCCACATACTCCTCGTCCTTGACCTCGCGGACGCCCACCTTCATCCCCTCGCGGGTGAACAGGACGTTCTTGCCTTCCATCTTGGAGCGCGTGTGGCGCGAGACGTCCTGGACGATGGAGTAGGCGACGTAACCGATGCCGGCGAGGACGAGGAGGACGCCCAGGAGGATGAAGAGGGGGGTGAGGCGGGCGGTCATTTTTTGTTTTTGTTTTTTTGGGAAGGGCGGGCGGGCTGGATTGCGGTGTGATGTGAGGGGTCCGATCGCGTGGATGATGGGATTCTTTCCCCTGGTGAGTGAGGGGGTTTTGATTTGTTGAATGACGATCAAATATGGATGGATGGATGGATGTACTGATGTACTCTGGCCAGTAACGGTGTTATGCAGCGTAAGATGTCGACTGTTGGTGAGAGGAGAGAGAAATGCGTAGGGCTGGCTGGTTTTGCGATCGCGGAATTGGGTGGATGGGTGATGAGTGATGTAATAATCGATCCCCAATCACTTTGTTCTTTGTTAGGCCGATCAACCGGTTCGTCTCGGTAGGTCTAGCCGTTGGAGGAGTGGGTGGGATCGTTAGCTATCAAGGTACAGTACTTCGTACTCGGGAGAAGTATGTCTCGAATAGAGTGGGAGAATATGAAAAACTGTGCGTTGGAGAAAAATGGACCCCCGTGTAATCCTTTATATACACATGAAAAAATGCATGGGGAACTGCACCTCCGGTTCTTGCCTCCAATTCTGTCCCAAATAATATGCGCCCTGTAGGGCCAACCACCGGTCGCTGCCAAGCCTCGCGCCAAGCGCTGGGGAAATTCTGGTGCCTGGATTTCGGGCTTCATTTTTTTTTTCTTTCTCTACAGGTGCAAGGCGCAGTTCATTCTGGAATAGGTGGGAAAGCTATTGTGGTTATTTTTGGTATGTTGGATGTTGCACAATCTCTTTTACTGAAGTAATAATTGGGAAAGAGGCGGAGTGACTGGTTCGGTTCGTTGCTTACTACTTGTCCTGTCCGCGGGTTGATTGAGGGGAAGGGAGGGAGGGGGCCAAACGGCTAATTTTATGTGACCTCGGTGAGGGGGCTGACTTGGACATTGTATCTGTGTGGATTGTTTGTTGCCTGCTTTGTGGCATGGAGGTCTTGTCTATTGACTGGAATTATCCGTTTCGGCCTGTTCTCCCTCCCTTGTGCAGTCCAGACACGGTAACTGTTTTATCAATGACTGGAATCTATGCATAGACTGCTGCACAAACTCCATGGCTGCTTTGCTAGAACTGCTTGTTGTTCTGTGTGCTGGCACGAGTATCATTTGTGCACATTGCACCGGTCCAGATACAGTCTACAAAAGCTTGAGATTGCAAGTCGGATTACGCAGCGACGTCTCATGGATTGCATCAATACCTACCTGATCTCGCCTATCGATTAATACATGAGCTAGCATCGATTGATTGATAATATGCTAAACGCCGCATCAGAATAAGGACGGTGTCAGATCTTGCAACTGAGCTTCACGACATATTGACATCTGGTGAGTTTCATGTCCATGATGTCGGATATCTACATACGATCTATATCCCCACCGGTGGCACATAGAAGCAAGATCTGCGATCTCCAGGCGGCGTGGGCATCACGGCCGAATACCGTCTGAACAAAATCCATCCTAAAGACTCACGAGGCCTCGATTGCCATGTTCTCCGTTTAGGTATAATTTAGTGCGTAGTTCGAGCAACCGTGTTGGATTGGGCGAAGCATGCGGTCGACTGGATCGCTACTTCGCCTGATGTAAACTACGCTTTTTCGCTTGTGATTCGAGTAAGAGAGAGAGAGAGTCACCAGTAGCCCCCGCAAGACCAGAATACCTGCTCAGATGCTAAGCATCACTTCCTCGCTATCTACTAGATCCTCCACAGCTTGCGTGAAGAGTGGTTCTGTTGGGGTTGAGCCGGCTGCGCGGAGCTGTGCCTGGTGGTTCCGAGGAGGGGGGCTGATATGATTCTATGGGAGACGATTTTGCGGGGTGTGGCTTGCGCCTATATGCGACATGCTAGCATGTCAACTTGGACCCTGAGAGGTGTTAGGGTTGTTGATATGGCTCGCAGGCGAATGCGGGTTTTTTTGGCATGTACGGAGTTGAACTACTAACTATATAGTGTTGACGGTCCAGGACGGAGTCCCAGCTCGTGTGTATACATACTATACATTGTATGTACACATTCATCTACAACAAGGTCTAAAGACTCATAAGAACGACATCTGATTTTAAAAATAAATAGACACACTTGCGACTAGCAATCGGATTGTCCCGAAGGATGGGCATGCAAGGTACAGTAAGGTACAATTCGGCCATCTCCAGGAAATAACATCCTTGACTAGCGGGGAGAGCAACAACCACCACTCCTAAGCACCACAAATACGATTCTTCAACACCAACCCTGCGAAATCGGATAAATTCCAACTAAATACAGCTTGATCGTCACATAAAAATCAAAATCAACCGGTGATACACCCAATGCTACCTCAATTTCCATGATTTCAATGCAACAACCCCAGACTGTCGTCATAATGAATCATGCTTTCCGCATTACCTCACCACCACGACCACACCACACAGCAGCAGCAGCAACACACAGCAACACATCACCACAAGCAAGGCTAACTAAACTAGAACTTGCACAGGTTGCAAAGTGCACCAGGCATCAATCAGGTACAGTACCGTAATGTACACAGTTAGCACAAGAAATAATTACTACGACTAAGCGCATCCCCATCCCCATCCAGCGCAACCTCACTCAATCCACCTCTTTTCCTCATCCCCATCTCTCCCACCACCCCTCTCCTTCCCACACCAGACACAAAAGATAAAGACAACGAAAAATGTGCGACGTCCCCTTCTTCCCCATCCTCCCGATCTGCTTCCAATGCGGCACCGATCAGAACCCCTGCCGCTGTAAAGTCGTCGGTCCAACCTTAGGTATATCTTTCCTGGCCCAGAAAACCAATTCGGCGGTGTCTGGCTCAGTATCGCTGACTTGATTGATCCTGTTCCGCGGGCTTAGGATTTATCTGTACGGTTGTAGCTGCTGTATGTTCACCTCTCTTTTTCGCGTCGTCGTTTTGGTTCTATCAGTATCTGAAGAGAGTCAGTCGATGGGGAGGGCACGCATTGAGATTCTAATTAAGCTCCAATATAGGTGATCTGCTACCCGGCATCGATCTTCTGCGGGTGTTGTTTGACGAAGACGGGGAAGGAGTATGTGCCTCTTCTATTGTAACGAACTCTCCGAGGGAAGAGGATGATGGGCTAATCGGTTCAATTCAGTGTGCTGGGGTATCCGGTCAAGGTGAATGGGATTGTTAGTAATGCCATACCGATATAGGTATCATGGTGTACTCAGGACTGAGGTTGGTTGGAGGGGTTCATGATAGAAGTGGATGGGCGATGTCAATCATAATAAATAATATATTCAATTGAGCAGCAAGCCTACGATAAATTTCATATATAGGACTACACTGAGTGAAGGTAAGGAATGTTCATTACAGCATAAATTATAGAATTGATTCGTGATACGTAACCATCAGCCTACCTAAAGTACCTAAGGCAGCGAACGAATGGAAGGAAAATCACACAACACAAAAGGTATCCAGACGATAATCACAGAAGCATGAAGAACGAAAATAGAAATCTTCCACCCAGTATACACCATTAGTTAAAAATCAACCCATCCATAGGTTGATTCGCTCAGTCATTAATTAATGTATTCAATGCTTCAACTTCTCCTTGAGGCGGGAGAAGAATCCCTTCTTCTTTTTCTTCGGCTCTTCCTTGTTGGAATTGGCAACTGCGCCAGCTGCAGCGTTGTTGGTGGTCTTGTTGGCGGGAGTAGTGGTATTGTTGGTGCTGGTAGGAGCATCGGTCTTTTGAGCGGGCGTAGATGCGTCCTTGTTGGTGTTGGCGGTAGCCGGAGTTGTATCGGACGTCTTGGTAGCGCTAGCGCCGGTAGCACCAGCACTTGGAGTAGACGTCACGTCGGCCTTGTTGGACTTACTGGGTTCGGCGAGCTGCTTGGGCTCTGAGGGTTTGTTGGTCTCCAAGTCATCGGCAGTTTTAGTCGCGCTGGAGCCCGTGACGCCAGCAGTAGGGCCGGAAGCCGAAACATCGCCAGCGGCAGAGGTTGATCCGACGTCGACGGCTGAGTCTGCTGTCTTGGTGGCACTGGAGCCAGTCACACCTGCAGTAGGGGCAGCGGCAGAAGAGTCCTCGGCTGAGCCGGGGCCGGACTGCTTCGGGGTCTTCGCAGAATCGACGCCTGTGGTAACAATTGGCTCACTTGGGTCATAGATCTTAGGAGACAGTTGATTGGAGGTGGCTACAGCACCGGCAGCAGGAACAGAGGAAGAAGCACCGTGGATAGGGCCAGGTCCAGATTCCTTTGGAGCCTTCGCAGAATCGACACCTGTGGTCACCACTGGTCCATCGACCGGTCCCTTCGCCTTAGAGTGCTGGTTTGTAGGCTCAGCACCAGTAGCACGGGGAGCAGTTTCCGCAGTAGCGGCACTCAGAGCAGGCGCTGGGGCGCCAACAGAATTGTTCACGCTGATTTTCTGCTGAAGCTCTTCTTCCACTTCCTTCTTCTCCTCGACAACCTCCTCGTTGGCAGCCCATTCGGGATGTTGATGGGCCTTCTCAAGGGACTCCTTGACCACGCCTGGAAGCTCCTCGGAGGGGGAACCACCGGTCGCCTGCTTCTGCTTCTGAGACTCCAGAGGCACTGCAGCAGCAAGTGCCGCCGTTGTCGACGTGGGCGCAGCCGACTGAATCGTATAGCCGGGGTCTCTGACATCGTGAGCGCCATCACTGCCCATAGGCAAGCTTGACTCAGGAATGGTGTTCTTCGTTACAGGTGGAAGGGAGAAAGCACTGCCATCTTGCAACGAATCTTCAGTCCGAGAAAGACTGGCGCCTTGCTCATACGCACCCTTGTCGAGACGTGCGGTGGACTGAACGGTGTTGGGGTTGAAAGTGCTAGGGTCAGGCACCTTCTCACCTGGAGCCAACTTGATCGGGTTGCCAATGCCACTGGATGCAGGGATGGGATTCACGGAGAACTGTTCAGCCTCGCTTCCGGGAGTGATTGGAAAGGATCCTGGCACAGTAGCCCGTTGTTCCAATGGGACTTCCTGGCCGAGTTTGGCGGTCGTCGAGCCTGGTGCTGCTGACGAGATGGTGGGGTGATAGCCATTTGTCTTGCTGCTGGACTCCTTAGGCACTCCAGCCGCCAGAGCAGCGGTGGTTGAATCGGGGGTTACACCGGCCATGCCGTTCTGTAGTGGTGGTTGTTGGATTTGATCGGGGTAGAGCACGTTGTTGATGTTATTGTCGCCGTCGTCTTCTTCGGGGACTCGATTATCAGTGGTCCAGATACCGTCGACGACGAACTTTAATCACGAGAATAAAAGAAACAAAGTCAGTTAGTGGATCTTCTGATGGCGCAAACCAACGATTGTGCGAGTCTTATAGTTTGAAAACAGTGACGGGACGGGCTCGACGGCCGTGCCATGACGTCAGCGCGACTCTGCGCAACCCACCGAGCGTCATCACCCGTCCCTCGATAAGGACGATCAGCCCAGCACGTAATCCTCCGCCGCCCGGTGAAGGAACAGTCCGTCTTGAGTAATGGGACAATAGGAAAATGGGAAAATGGGGGGAAAGAGGTTGGGCAGGGGCTTTTATGGCAAAGCTAGAGAGAGTGAGCGGAGGAAAAAAAGTTCTCACCTTATACTGGATCTTCTCCTCTGTGGCTGGGAGCTCAACTTCCTTCTCGAACACCTCCCCATTGCGGTCCAGTCGGACAGTCTTGCCCCAGTCATCGAATGTCCCCGTCACATACACTTCGTTTGCATTATACGGCCTGGTTTGATCCCCATGCGAGGGGCCGCAACGGTCAGCGAACACAAATCAGTGGCGCCGGGTCCGGAAAGTGTCGGGGATAATAGCAGTAGGAAGCACGGGGCAAAGCCTGTCATAGACCCTTCACAAGAGATGCTCATTGGAGGCCCAGGCTTCGCAATGGAGAAAGGAGATTTTCTTGATCGCAAGGTAAGGTCAAGAATAACTTACCATCGAAACGTATAAGTCCCCATCTTCTATAGTGGAGATGAGGGTTGGGGGGGTAAATTGCGCCCAGGAAGTGGATGCGGAAAAAATAGTAGGTTGTCGGGGTTTTCCAGTGGGGTAAATATTTCAGACAGGTCAATATTGGTCAAGCGGCATAAAAAGACCAGAGAATAAAACAAGAATACACAATAGAGTAAATAAGGCAAAGAGAAATTCCTGCGTAGCCACGAAGGGGTTCTGCTATGTAGGTACGGGCGTAGACAGGGTAGAGAAGAAGGAGAGGAGAGAAAATGACGATGTTGAGGAGGCTGGGAAATTCGAATTGGATTGATTTGACTTGATTGCCTGGAGCGAGCGGGGTGGCGGCCACAACCCAACAACAGCAGTCACACACTTCATTTTAACACTCACTCACTCACTCACTCATACACTTCAATAATTATTAACCACTGAGCACTGAACACCGAACCACTGAAACCCAAGCACAGACAACTAAACTAATCACTGGGGTATATTTCATTGGTGACCTTACCCAGGGGGAAACAGCACATCAAGGGACCTGGCGGGTCCCTATCGCAGGGTCAAAGAGTGGTTGGCGCGTATTCCATCACCGCCTTCAGGTTCTAGATGCGTGCTGGCTGGCACTTTAACAAATCTCCTCGCCTGTACAACTCAGCTAAAGTTGTGCGTGCCCGTGCTGACAGCTGGCGTGTCTCATCAGTCATCAGGACCTTTGTTACAAGCATGGGAAGGCGCTGCCGCCGCCGATTATGATTATTCCGATCACGAATTCTCACCTGTTGTATGGGATCAAAAGTTTTCATGGGAAAACTTTAACAACAACAACAACCAAGGATAGAAGCACCCTGAGCATCCCTATCGGAGAATCAAGGTCACCAGAATCTCAAGCTCCTTGGCCCCACCATCATTCATTCCAGAGCCAATTCCTTGGATGTGACCAGATTCTGCAGGGCAACCAGAATCCAACGCGCAATCAATTCAATTGAAGCAGGCAGGCAATCTGCGCACAGTGTAGGTGAGTAGGTGTGTAGGTGTGTAGAAGGTATGTAGAAGGTATCTTATACATGCACATAGGCAGTGAATCATGATCGCACTCTGTCAATGGTACACGGGACTCGGGAGGGAAGGGAAGCACGGACTCTCACACTAAACCAAAAATGATTCCCTCAAAAATGGCGATCCTGAATGAGATAAAACGGTGACGGCGCCTAGTCTAACTCAGTCAGGAATGGGATGGGAGGGACTCGAGAAGGAGGGCCCGGCCAAAATCAATAATCCACCATCCATGGTTTCTTCATGGCTGTGCGATGAAGGGAAAGACTTCCTTGCAGCAACACTGGAAAGACAAAATCTCAAAAAATCCCCTCATGATGGCATCTTGACATCGATTGACCCAAAATACAGAAAAGGGGCCCGTCCCGAGCAAACGTCAACAAAGGCTAATTGAATGAATGGCATCGATTTGTCAGGCTATGACCTCAGCGAGCAGATCATCCGAAGGGAACCAGCACCGTTTTCGACAACAAGTTTGCCACCAGCAGCACGTCGAGGAGGACATAGTTGACCATGTTGAAGTTCTATCTATCGGTGGGGAAGCAGTGAATGGGGTACAGTGGATGATAAAAAAGAAAGTCAATGGGAACTGGGAAGTGTCCTTCACCTGATTAAGGAGAAAATCGAAAAAAAAAGGGATGGGTTGGGGTTGATCACAAGTCGATTATTGCACAACATCCTCCAAATTGGATCCCACCAACTCCTGCTTGTGCCAAAGCTGTCCCCGCCCTCTGGTGGCGCAACGAATTACCATGTTTCTAGAAGAAATCTGGAAGCCCCTTGGCCACCAAATCGAACCTTCGACGCCATTTCCGTTCCCGGCTGAATGATTGACCTCCCATCTTTTGCGGTGCCCCGTCGTCTCCTTTTTCTCTTCGTCGTGAGTTTCGGTTTATTTTAGATTCGGATCAGGAGAGGAAGGTCACAGGCAAGGCTTTCCCCACCCAACCCTCCTCTTTCTAACCACTCTTGTGGTCGTTCGAGTAGACTATTGACCCGGCCACCTCCGCTATTGACGGAATCAACGGGCTACTAGTCGCGAGACCCGATTGATTAAGGAGTTGGATTGTTCTAGAAGGAGAATGGAAGCCATTAGCTCGACTGGATAAGGAGTCCACTGACAATATGTTCATCGGATAGTTCCACTCTGTTTGATAGACATCACAGTGGGTAAAGTTCTTGGAAAGAAACGAAGATACAGATACGCTGGGGAGTTCGATGCAGAGGAAGAGGAAGAGGTAGAGGAAGCAGGTGATAGACCACCACGAAGATACTCTCTGAGCACGAAGGGTATTCTGAAGATGATTATGGAGCGAGCTGCTGCTGCTTCCCGCGGTTTCGTGTCTTTTCCTCCCTCCTTTTTTCTCTGGGTGATCCCTTTTTTTTCCTGCAACGACCCCTCTAGATCACGTAGACGGTAGCACCACCACACACACGCACCACCACCACCACCACCACAACGCGCTACACACCATCTTGAGATTTGCCCCTTTTTTTTCTCATTAGGTGATAATTCTAGTAGGTAATAATTCCTACTAGTTAGTTGATTACCTAGAGAATTAGTTCATCTCCGGCAGGCAAGTTCCCACGCGACCCTTGATTTAAGTTGAGCGGTGGTGCCCCTCCCAAAGCTTGCAGCTGGTGACTTCACTACTCACTCTTACTTCCTCCTACTTCTACTTACTTACTGCGACTACTACACCTAATTTTCTAATTCTCTCCTCCGTCTCACTGTCATCCTTTACTGTCACAGTTCTACTCCTAGACTGTTTCGATTGTGTCTCTGGAGATCCTAAATTATACCTACTCCTTCCAAGCCAAGCTCTTATTTCTCCTTGGGTGGAATCCGATAATCTCTCAACTTTAAGCGGTTTGCATCAGCTTCCACGGCAAGCTGCAACTTCAAACCAACCAACGAACGCAAAAGGATCAAACGATCTGGAAAGGTTCCCGAGCTTCGAAGCCAGAATATCCAATAAGGCCTTGGTGTGCCGCTGAAGTCTTCCCCACCTCAACCACAATCCGTCACCCTTTGATTCTCATTCAGCGATCGGGCTGGTCGGTTTCCCTACCCGCCCCTCCTCAGCTCTTCCCCCTCCATCTGCTGCTGCTGCTGCTTTTGCTGCTGGTGTGCTACTAGCCTGCTGCTACCCTGTTCCCCTCCCACGCCCCCCTCCCCTCCTCTTTTCTCTGAGCTTTCCTTCTTTTCCCCCATCTTCCTTCCTACACCATTCCCATGACTACCGCTCCTCTTCTATATCCTTCCTCTCCATCCAAAACTCGACATCCGTCTTGTTCTCTACCACCAGTCGACTCAAATTTAGCTCCCGATCTACTTCAAACGAGTCCTTCCCCTCCATCGCGGCCGCTGCAGTCGTGGTCGCCCGAGCGTCCAATTTCCCCGCTTAACACAGGCCGGAACTTCACCTTCTCCAGCCCTTTCCTCCAGAGAATGGCCGAGAGCACTTTTCCTGGGGGTAATCAACCCCTTCGCGTGGGCACAAAAGACGACAGCAAGCCCGCCACTTTTCACAAGATCTCGGAGGAGGACGAGTACGAGGTGACGTCACCAACCGATCCGACTTTTCGCACCGCCAATGCTCCCGCCGCTGCCTCATCCTCAACCGGCAACAGCTTGTTCACGGGCGGTGGTTTCGGTGACGGTGGTGCCATTCGTTTCAACACCCGAAGCCCATTTGACGATGGGTCGCGCGAGGCGGACGAGGCCGCCGACGAATTCCCACCAGGCGACATCCGCCCGACGGGTGTCCCCAACCCTGGTCTCCCCAACAACTACGCCTTGGGACGGAGGACATCGGTGTCAGCAGAGTCGTTGAATCCAACCTCAGCGGGCTCGGACAGCTGGGCCCCGCCGCATCACCCCAAATCAGATGAGCAAATCGCGCGCTTGAAGACCGCCGTCAGCAACAACTTCCTCTTCGCTCACTTGGATGACGATCAGTTCAAGACTGTGCTCGACGCGCTGGTGGAAAAGCCCATCCCCGCCAAAGACATCAAGGTTATCTCGCAGGGTGATGCGGGAGACTATTTCTACATCGTTGAAGACGGCCACTTTGACGTTCTGATCCACCCTTCGGGCTCTGTGCAGCCAGGCGCCGAGGGTATGGGCAACAAAGTCAGCACCATTGGCCCTGGAGGCTCGTTTGGAGAGCTGGCTCTCATGTACAATGCTCCTCGTGCCGCAACCGTCGTCTCCGTGGATCCGAAGAGCACCCTCTGGGCCCTGGACCGCATCACCTTCCGCCGCATTCTGATGGATTCGGCCTTCCAGCGTCGTCGTATGTACGAGGCTTTCCTGGAAGAAGTGCCTCTCCTGTCCAGCCTCAAGCCCTACGAACGGTCCAAGATTGCCGATGCGCTGGACGCCAGCAAATACCCCGCTGGGTCGACCATTATCAGCGAGGGTGATCCAGGCGATGCCTTCTACCTGCTTGAGGCTGGTGAAGCCGATGCGTTCAAGAAGGACTTGGACGGAGTCGTCAAATCCTACAAGCGTGGTGATTACTTCGGTGAACTGGCATTGCTGGACGACAAGCCTCGGGCTGCGAGCATTGTTGCCCGCACGGAGGTCAAGGTTGCTCGGCTGGGTCGCGATGGCTTCAAGCGGTTACTGGGTCCCGTGGAGGATATTATGAGACGGGCCGAGTACGAGTCGAAGCCAAACCAGTCATGATTAGCATACAAACATTTTTAGACGAGAATACGCGAACTGGGAAGGTGCTATGGGGTGGGGTTATGTTTTATTATCTTTCTGTTCAATGTACTTGATGCTTTTCCTGGGACCTGCCTGGAGAGATGTGGGTTCCGAGATACATGCAAGATGGGGTTGAAGAAAAGCTGCCCTCCGGTTCATTGGCGAAACATTGGTCTTTTACTTATTCTTTGCCACGGCATTATGGGATTTTCAAACAGATGCAACCTCCTGTTCATGTGTCTAATAGTGGACGCACCGGTGTGGTCCGGTGTCTGTCCGGGTGTTTTCTTTGTTCATAATATATGTCTTTGACAATGGTGGATACATATTCTTTGGGTCAGTCGTGGTAGGCCTGTAGAGCACTTCCGGTAGAGTACTTTCTCGAAGCTCTCTGACTCGAATGTCGTGATGGGTAGACAAGTGGTTTCACCGTGCAACAACCAGGTCACTCCGCAACACCCACTTCTCCCCGCTCCGGACCTCGGCCCCCTCATGCAGCATACAATGCTCGCCATGCCGATGCAGCAGCGCCATACCCGGCACGGGCTTGACCGAGACCGGCTGGGGGTTGCGGTCCTTCCGCGTGGGCTCTGGGTAGAAGATAGTCTCTCCGCCCTCACAAGCCGTCAAGTAGATGAGCAGGGTCCATGTCGTGCGAGCCGGCCTGGCCGGTTGCCCTGGCGTGTTGAAAGTAAGGGTGTTGGAATCATCGTCTAGTTGACGAGATTAATTAAGATGCGCTTGATCACCAGTCCCTTCAATTTGATGCCGCCCCCACCCCCCCGGCGGCCTCAACAGAAAGCAAGAAGCAGACAGATCGAACTTACAATGCTTATCAAAGAACTGGCCCTTAGTATACCGATAAATCCGAATATTCCCATTCAACCCCAACGGCTCCCCACCCCACATCCCATTCTTGCTGAGATCATCCTCCTCCCGATCGATCTGACCGGTCCCCTCCCCCTCTTCGTCTTCATCGTCATACGAATACAACCTCTCCTCGACCGGATTCGTCTTCCCCGTCACACACCGCTGGAGGCAGGTATACTCCCACAACTGCGCGGCGAACCCGTCATCCTGGACCTGGAAGCGGTCATTGACGCGCACCGCGTCCCCTTTCTTGGGTTTGTTCGGCGTGGTCACCAGCGGCAGGGAGGCGAGGAAGGTGGTGTATGTTTTGCACAGCGGGGCCGGGAAGAACTCCGGGATGATGTAGGCTTGGTTGGGGATGAGGAGGTGGAGGGTGGGTTTGGTGGGGTGGTAGTAGGGGTTCTTGGGGGATGGGGGTAGAGGAGGCCAGGGGGATTCTTGTTTGGGCGGTTGGTGATGCATTGGGGGGGATCGTGGCGGGAGATTGTTTGGTTTTGGGTTTGGGTTTGGGTTTGGAGGTGGTTGTTGGCGGTGGTGGGGGTTTTTTGGGCATCTTGGTTTTCTTTTTTGGTTCGGTTCTTGTGGGATAGGGATGGGGATTGAAATGTACTGTATATAAGAAGCAGACTCTGGTATTTGACTTGGAGGGGCTTGGGGTTGGAAGGTGATTATATGTAGATAGGGACGGTGTGCTCTGTGATTCAGGTGGAGTGGATGCTGATATGGATGAGACGTGAGGGGAAATAGTCCAGATTCTGCTGTATGGATGGTTAGTAGGCGGTAGGCTGTTTCTTCCAGTTCTACCCCGGAAGGGGGAGATCTGGGGTGCTGGCAGGAAGCTGGACGGGTTGGAGATGATAGGCAGGTATTGATCTGGAAGACTGATACCTACCTAGCATGTTTTTTGATCTGCTACTCTTGAGCCTCTGTTGTATATTGAATTTTTGAATCAAGTGTTCCGTGGTTGCGAATTGGAATTCCGTGTACTGTGCCGTGAGGGGATCGTATGGTAGCTTGAGCATGAGGTAACTCTGAACATAATGAAAGGTCTCATGTATAGGTACTTATAGCCCAGAAGAGATAATTCAAGGATTGAAGACTTCAGAAGCATGGAAGCGCCCGAAGCTTGTAAATATCCTGAATTAACAATTTTGACTCTACAAACGAACAGGCTTCAGTTATTCAATCTATGGAAGCTCAACTTCTATGGTCAATTTCAAAGACCAACAAAGACTGATTTTGGAATGACCTTGTTTCAACTGATTCTATTACGACCTCTGAGACTCGAGAGTCGAGAAAACTTTGCGAAGAACTTGCCAACATAGATAAAAGTCAAGCATTGCATGTCGAATCGGGTCTTTGCCAGCTAATAAGAAAAAGTCTACCTACCAGCCGTCTGAAACCTCCCGTCGCCCCAGGCAATGAATTGGATGCTGGAGTTTCACCCTCTGCATGCCGTCAAAGACCAGTCCAATGGGATGTATACTCCGAGTCCCCATTTCTGCATGTCAGGAGTCAATCAGCCATCTCCAACACTCCAGGGTTTAGGAAGTACTTGGATCAGACACTGAAGCAGGGCCAGCTGTCGTGCGCTGCAGGAGGTATCCTATCCTCTCAAGATGTGCCTGATGGACGGAGGCTAGAACCAAGCAATAAATAGACTGGGTAAAGGATAAACGGCCCATACCAATCGATTACGTGGAAATACCTCAATAATACCTTCTCCCCATACAAATTTCCCCAAAGGTACCGTCCATCCCGTCACCGGAAGCGGCAGAAAAAACTCCATGAAAAAAAAAATATCGCCGGCACTACTTTTCGCCGACCAGTCAGAGGCCGTCCTGGGCCGGGAGACGGGCTCACCGCCCTTGACTTCTCTCCTCCTCCTCTTTCGTCTTGTCTCCCTCCACCCCCAATCCTCTCCTACTCGACCCCCGTCAAGACCAGCCGCCGGTCATGTCGTCGTCGCAGACCATGACAGCGCCAGCGGTGGGCCATCGTCCTCCGGATGCTGCCCCGGATATGTCGTCCGTGTACGACTATCCTCGATCACAACAGCAGCAGCACCAGCAACAGCATCTTAACCCTCAACCGCATTCATCCCCGCCCAACGACTCCGCAATCCGCGCTCTGCAAGATCCTGTCCCCGATCCCCTCGATGCCTCCTCCCCCAATGGCCTACCCGCTCTTTCCTCAACTACAATCAAATCCGAACCCGACGATCAATCCTCAATATCTCCTGCGCCGCATGATTCTCAATCCGATCTCCGTCGTCAGTCCGCCGCCAGTGCGCTGCTGGCCCAGCTCCTTGGCAATCAATCCTCCTCCGGTCCATCGCCGTCTGAGGACCACCCAATGCCACCAGCCCCGCAAGCGACGGATCAACCGCACCAGGTCGACGATAAATCAAATCTCCAATGGACGTTAGATTCAACTTCAGAGCCCATGGCCACTGTGCCTGCCGACTCGACCGGCGGAGGCGCGGATCAAATCCCGCCGACATCGACTGCCCAGCCATCTTCGCATCACCAGCAGGAGGAAAAGTTCGACCCCCAACCCGATATGTCCCTGACAAATCCCGAAGAAGACACGAACCCGACTGTTAAGATGAACAATTCAATCGACGGCCTCACAGATCCATTGCTTTTCGCGAAAGGCGGCATCGACCATGCTGATCTTTTCACACCCTTCGATCTGTCGTCTTCCTCGAAGAATCCATTCGATGCATTGCAACACAATGAGATGCTTACAGACGCGTTTCTATCGCAGAGCGCCGATCTCTCCGCACTTGGATATTCGGGTCTACCGCATGATGGCTCGGGTTCTGTCACCGGCTCCGAACCCCGGATCCAAGCATTTGCGAAGCTCGAGTTCGATGACGGTCATTTCTATTGCAACACTTATTCCTTTATCCTTGGTCGTGATGTACGAGCCGCTCGCGCTGCGCATCAACGCGAAATACAAGTTCGGCAAGCTATGAGGACAACGCGGGCGAAGAGCTCTAGTGGCGGAAACATGTCGCATACCCCCGTCCGTGTGAAGCATGAAGGCAGCGGTATGATGGGCAGCGTTGTCAGTGATCGTGGTGGAATTATGGGCTTCGATCCTGATGTCTCCCATCTTCCTCCTCGTCTCAGCCGTCGATCGTCGGTTTCTTCCCATGCGGAATCGGGCGCTCCGCTGCATGCAACGCCAGCTCAACTTCAATCGACCGATAACAACACCACCGACTACAATGCCCTAGCGATGCAGTCATTGAATGATGAAAACGGCGATGCAAAGCCGGTTGATGCTCTTGCGCTGCTCCCTTCGCCTGACGCATGTCCGACGATCCCCATTCACCCTCCCGCCACCGTTGACGGCAGTGCCGCTGGCCACCGTGGTATCTCCCGCAAACATGTCAAGATCGCCTACAATTTTGATAAGAATCTGTTTGAGATGGAAGTCATGGGACGAAATGGCGCGTTCATTGGTGCAGATTGGTTATCGCCTGGTCAGATCAGACCATTACATAGCGGCGACTACATCCAGATTGGAGGTGTTCGCATTCGCTTTCTATTACCAGATGTGCCAATCGGTGAGACTGGTGCTGACCGTGTCGAGGAGCCCCTGGGTACCGGGGAGGAAACCTCTCAGACACCAGCTCCTGCCGTTGAAGACGAAGTTGAGATGCAGAGGGGTCCGTCCGAATCTGCGGATAATAAGGACGCTCCTAGACCGCCAACGAAACTCATACTAAAAACCAGAGAGCCCGACTCGGCGCGACCAATGCCTTCTGTGGAGGGAGTTATCGATCCGGCGTTACAACCAATCCGACGTCGCGGTCCTGGGCGTCCTCCTAAGGATGGCATCATGTCCAAGCGAGAGAGAGCAGAACTGGCTCGAGAACAAAAATTGGCAGCGAAGCGCGAGGCCAATGGAGGCGTTACTCCTCCGCCCGGGAGCCGGCCGAAAGCCGGCAAGGCTCCAGCCTCAACGACGGCGACTGTTACGCCCAAGGAGATGGGCGGAGAGTCACCTGGGTCAAAACCTGAGAAACGCAAGTATACCAAGAGAAAGAAGCCCGATGGCACTCCGATGGACTTCCCCCTACCTTCCACCGAAGGTGGACAGTATCCTATGGAACATCGCCCGGAGGAGTTCATCAAAGCGCCCCCGGTCAAGAAGCGCAAACCCTCGCGGTCGCCATCTCCGAATTATCCTCCCGAGTCAGCATATACCCCGGAGGATCTGGCCAAGCCGCCTTACAACTACGCCGTTCTCATCTTCGATGCTCTCACCGAGGCTGGTACTCCGATGACACTCAAGCAGATCTATCGAGCGTTGAAGTTGAAATATCCATATTTCCGTTTCAAGTGCGAAACCGAAGGTTGGACGTCCAGTGTACGGCACAACCTCAACGGAAACAGCCATCTTTTCATGCATGCTGAGCGGGATGGAAAGGGGTGGTCCTGGCAGCTTCGCCCTGGAGCTTCTGTTGAGAAGGAGAAGAAGAGGCGCCCGTCACCTCCTCCGCCAGCGGCGCAGCAGCCGCCTCCCGCTCCTCCTTCGTACATGCCTGCATTGAATCCATCATATGGCACTCAGCCAAATGGACAGCCCAGCATGGCCAATCCGCACTTCCAGTTCCCTGCTATGCCATCCAACCCTTATGCAACTCACACTCACACGCACGCTCCCGCTCCCGCTCCGTCTCCTGCTCCTCCGGCACCCCATCACGCGAGTCCCTATCCCCCGCCTTCTCAACCCGCCGCCTCGACCCCGTTTCCAATACCCAGTCCGCTCCGCAACAACCTTCCGCCCGCCTTCGCTCAGACCACTCCTTCCACCTACACCTCACCGTATGCATCCGATCCGCCGCCGCAGCTGGTGCAGCTGCAGCAACAGCAATCGCAATCAATGCCTCCACAACCCCAACATCAGTCACCTTACCCTCCGCCAAATCCTCCACCAATGCCTCCGTCCAATGCGCCACATCCAGCGCATCAAACACATCAAACGCATCCTCCGCCTCCGCCACCCCCGGGGCCACCGCCGGGGCCTCCCATGCAGCATCAGCCAAACATGGGTATGGTCCCTGGCCCCGGTCCAGCTCATATGGATACTTCGGACGCATCCTCGTTCAATGATCGTGCAAACAAGGCCATCGACGATTTCGAGGCTGTTCTCATGGAGGATTACGAGGATAAGAACTACATCCGGGAGGTGCTGAAGAGTGCGCGAGCCCGTGTACTCGGCAACGCAACGGACAGCTCATTCCCCGGCGGTGAACCGAAAGATGAGGAGGTCATTGTAGATGCCCTCCGTAATCTGATCGGAAGCCTGAAGGGGGAGTAGGAATTGTGACCAGTGGGCATTGACTGGCATTCAAGGGACGAAGAACCTTGATGTCTTTAGCTTGACGAATTTTACGATTTGGGATTCTGCATTCTACCACCTTGCTTTTTTTGGATTGTCCTGTCTAATCTGCATGCAGTTGGCACATGGCGAGCCGACTTCAACTCGGATCTGGTGTTCAAAGTGTTTTAAGGGAAGAGGGAAACGGTATCAGAGCGCAAGCGCGAAAAGCTGGTCCTCGTTCCCCTTCGTCAATTCGGTTCTAATGAGCATGAGAAACTCGAAGCATTCACGATACGATATATTTCCTCTGACGTTTTGTTACTTTCCTGCTAACATCCTCATAACTTTTGCTTCTCCTACCTTCCATGTTTCCACACACCCCGTTTATCACTGACTGGTTGATTTATCAATGATATCCACTCTGTTCTTGGACCCCGAGAGTCCTGTTTCACGTTTTTGAGGATGGCGCTACATACATACATACATACCTACCTGTCTACCGTCTACCTCCTTGATCTTATTGCTTCACCACATCAACGTGTCCATTCTTTCCACTTATTCTCGACATTGCAGCCGGAAATCTCCGGGACTGGGTGTTGACATTCAGTTCTTCCTGCCCCCTCAATCCTCCACGAGCTGGAGCCGGAATCAGTCGGGGGAGGTAAGATTCCGGGATGGAGGGGGAGAAGGAGAGGATCCTGATGCATAATCGTAGTAGCTAGAAAAGAACGAAAGAATACGATCTTGCATTACATGGTGTTATTTGTCTTGTCTTGTCTATGTGTCCGTCTTTGTGCTCGAATCAATCACGATGGGCCTAAATGACTCGCGGCGCAATCTCTAAATCATTAAATGTCGAACTAACAGTCAGATCAAGGATCCCAAAACCTGCTTTTTCTTCTGATGCATCTTTCCGAAATCTGCATAGGACGGATGATGATGGTGATGCATGAGAGTACAGAGTAGATGTCAGAATGACACACACACACACACACACATACACATGTGGTGAGAAAATTTCTACGATGAGGGAGGGGGTTGGTTGTTTCGGCGCCCGGTACCTGACCGATAAACAGAACCCCTCACTCACCCTCCTTCTCTGCATTTCTGCCGCAGTTTGGGGGTGGATGGACTAACGAGAAGTTGCAATTGTCAAGTAGGAATGATTCTTTTTTGCTTTGCCCATCCGTTCTCGTATCCGAAACTCCCGACTGACATTCCCGTTGTTTTTTCTTCTTGTGTGATGCGTTGTTTCATTGTTGCCGGTGGGGGGAGCGTGAGTGGGGAGGATCGTGCCCCCATCCCCCGCCATCCCGGCTTCTTTTTGTCTTTACTTTGGTACAGTAGTGTAGTTGTAGTTGTAGTTGTAGTTGTGAGTTGTACATGATACACAATTACGGGATTCAGTATGCTAGCTTCAGAATGGCTACCTGGGTAGGTAAGCGAGAACTGTTACTGTTTCAGCTCCGGGGGATTAGGAGTATTCTCGGCCGGTTCGTGGATTGGATTCATCTATGTATATTCAAGTCCGTTGTATACTGTGGGAGAGGAGAGCGCAAATGTTTATTGTTTTGTTTTGTTTGGTCGTGGGGTGGAGAGCCAGGGAATGGAGTCCGCCTGGGTAGGTTATCCATACGGAGTCTCTGGAATTCGTTCAATGTAGATAAGTAGGTACTAGGTAGTGATGATAATGGCTTTGACCTTCGCTTTCTCGTAGAAGAATCCGTGTTGATCCGAGAATAAATTTTGAGGGATATACTTACTACTCCAAAGAGAGTCTATAGGAGAGGACAATGGGTCAATAGGGCAATGAACGGGAAGGGAGAGGAGGAGGGGTTTGAGGGTTGAGGGCTGAGATTCTTGTTCCTGTGCCTGTTCCTGTTTTTTTTTCTTGTTCCTATCCAATTGTAGTGTGGTTGGTGGGGGAGGGGGAGTTTAGGGGATGAGGGGGTCGTGGGCGGGTAATTGAGGGTTAGATGCAGAACTCCATATGGAGAATGTAGAGGTTCTCATTCTATCAAGATGCTGGCAAAAAGGAGGGGCTTCTTGTCAATTCTTTCAGCGTATGGAGGGGAGCAGAGAGGATAGGACGAATAGGATAATTCATAGGGAATCGGATATTATGATCGGTATAGTTAAGCTTGACCTGGCAGGCAGGCAGGCACAGTGCGAATGCGAACAGATGTAGGTGGTGAGCGGTGCGGCGGCATCAAATGTCAAGGTGTCAAACAGGCACGGCGGGGGCTCACCTCAAAGCAAGGCGAAAGAAGCAGATAGGCAGAGGCAGTCAAGTCAGTGCTTCTTGCATATCCGTCTGTCCGGCTCAGGTCATCAATGTCAACTGTCAATGTCCGTGTCCGTGTCAGTTGCCAGGTGAGGATGACCGATACAGCCGATCTGAGCCCTCCTGCTTCTCCAAACAGAGGGGGGCAAATGGCGATATCGGAAGATAGAGCTGGGAAATCGGAAAGAAACGAAGAAGGGGAGGCGGGAGGGGGGCAAGCGCTCTCCCGAAGAGTTACAGAGACGATGGGGAGGTATCACTATCGTGAAGGATTGGAGGGCTTGCATACGCGGACATGCGGTATTATCGTGATGATTAAACTTCTCTAGGACGGGGCCCTTTGGGCAGCGATGGCTGGTCAGATGGGCAGGCAGGGCATTCACTCACTCACGGGCTTGAGAGTGAAGCAACGATAGAGAGACTGAAGGCAAAGACTGTCTCTCTGCCCACCCCACTCACCATTACTCGATCTTGCTGTGTGCAGATGGAGTGGGGTGAAGAGGGAGAGAGAGGGTTTGGCACGGCAAGCTCAGATTCGACAGGATGAAAGATGGAGATCGATTGAGGTTAGTTGCTTAGGCGGGCGAAATACTCAGTACCATTGTTAAGTTCTACTTTGGGGGTTTGTCTTGGATTGGATCGGTGGTGGCATTGATAGAGTGATAGGCGTATAAGGAGGGTGGTAACAACAGCCAGCCAGGCACGTATACTCCGTACAATTACATATATTGATGGTGATGGTTTGTGATGGATCATCCTCCGGTCGGGTAAGACACAACACAATTGGGCTGTTCCGTTGAAGAGAGAATAAGATCCTCCTCGAGATGTCTCAATCCCTGAGGTCTCAAGTTTTAGCTACAATAGATTGTTGTGGTTTATGTTCTTTATCCATAAGCCCAGTCGTAGATCGCGTTGTACTGTATCTCGATGTGCCTGCAGGAGGTGGAAGGTGACTGGCGCCATGATTGCGATAGCAACCAGGGACTGGCTGTTTTCCAGAATATCAACCTACCCCGCCGACAAACCGCCATGGTAGCCTGGTTGAGACCGGCTGAGCAGCCCACCACCACCTTGAGTCGTAGTTATCTAAATGCAGCTTGAATAGGTCTTTGTAAGCAACCACTGCACCAGTCACCTCACCAACTAATGAAAATCACTCAGCCTGTCCGACACCCCTCCCAGCGTTGATTGGATGCATTCCGATGCAGCTCTGAGTCACCCGGAGAGCAACAAAGGCAGGTAACAGCCGCAACGCTCCAGGTGACGACGATGCTGATGAGATGATTCCTCTGGCCAGCCTCCGAGCCACAAGGAGATCAGGCACATGCTCTTCCCCTCTCTTTACCACTATGAGTATGTACTTACTGTACGTATACCAGATCTGTCACCTCTACCAACAGGATATTGGGACTCAATAACTCATCATTGATTGGGTTGATGCTTGATGATGGCTGAGCTGCAGCAACAGGCAGGAATGTCGAGAGAATGGAAGGAGCTGGAATGTGTCGGCTCGTCTCAAGGATCTACCGATTCTACCTGAAAGGTGACTACCAAGTATTGGCAGTCAAATATGTACAATGATGATGATGATTGATGCCTTTTCCCTGCTGCTAAACCTGTCCGGAAAGATACAGCTTACAGTAAGTACCGTATGTAGAGGACCTGCTGATGCATATGTGGTGACCTACAGCGAGCGACCTCGACCGTCATGGTGAAAATGAGGCAGTCCAGACAGTCCAGGCAGTCTAGGAAGACCCAGGCTTCCAGACCTTCAGGGTTCATGAGCCAGAAGTGACACAGGGCAAGGGCAAAAGGGCAGGGCAGGACCTGGCATGGCATGGCATGGTGTCATGGGCTCCGCCTTGAGATCACCCATCGCCACCGTTGACTTGTCGCGACCATACTGGTGATGATGAGGTTTCCTCCCCTGAGATCATGCCCTTCTTCGCTATTCCATCCCTTCTAGACTGACTAGACTACTGTAGACGTAGAGCTGGCTGCTGCTGCCCCCTCTTTTTTCTCACCCCATGATCCATCCATCCATCCATCTAGATCCATTTGGATGACTGACCCAATTAGTACCACGATCCATGATGGATCCATGATGGATCCATGATTGACCGATGATTGAATCAATGTTGCCTCCGCCTGCCCCCTTTCGGATACACGGCGACTGGGCGGGGGCCTTTGGAAAAAAGTTATAAATATCCAACCAGAATGGATTAGATAATCCACCTTCTGCGACCAACAAGCCAAGCCACACTTTTGGTGTGAACGACTCAATCTCCATGAACCCATTTTATCTTAGTTAACTTTCTTAGTCCTGTTCACGACACGTTTTTTTTTGCCTGTTTAGTTTTAAAACTCCTTAGTTCTAATTTTTGTTTTTGTTTCTGGCTTTCTCCTTTGCCCATCATTTGATAAATTAGCACGGGGGCGCACGGCCCAGTCATTTGTCGAGCCGTACCACTAGCGCTCTTCGGCCGCTCCTTTCCTGTTGCTCTTCGCCCTCTTTTCGAGGTGTGACTTCAATTTTTGCCTCCGATAGACAAGAAGTGACGGAAATGCTCTTGTTGGTATCCTGTCTGGCTTATGAATTGGCCATGGCTAGGCACCTGCGCTGCATTGCTCTCTCTATCAGTTTTGATGATCCTGTGAATTTTTGAACCTTAAGTTGACCAGGACTTTCATTGACTGTTCGCCCTCTACATAC